CCGGGAAGAGGGCAATGATGGTGCCAACTTGGGCCAGTGAAGCAACGTCCTCCACAACTAGACTGAAGAACAAAAGGATAGCAACTTGTCTGTTCCTCTTCCCCCAATTCCCTAGCACTGTTCCCATCCCCCAATTCCCCAATTAAAAAAAATCTAAAAAAAGAAAAAAGAAAAAAAGACTGAATGTGGGATGTGAAAGATCTTTTTCTTGAGAAATCGGATATGACTTCAAGGTTTTGGCCTGAGCAAATGGAAGGACAGAGTTGTCATTTATTAAGAAGAGGAACTGTGATAAATAGATATAAAGGGTAGTATTAAAAATTCAGCTTTTTATATCTTAAATTTGAGATATCAAGTAATAGATATTTGAATCTGGAGTTCAGGTAAGAGGTTAAGTCTGGAGATATAAATTTCAGAGTCATCAGCATATGTAAGGTATTTAAAGACGTGAGATTAAGTGATCTCACCTAGGGTATGAATGTAGAGAGAAGAGGTCCTAGAAGTGAGCCCAGGGGCATTCTAATGTTCAGAGGCCTGGAAGATAACGGAATCTGAGGAAGACTCGAGAGTGAGAATAGAGCAGACACTGGAAGTAGAACCAAGAAAGTGATACACCACAGTCCATGTGAGTGTTTCAAGAAGAAACAATCAAGTCTATCACACACTACAGAAAAGTTGAGAAAAGTAAAGACTAAGAACTTATTACTAAAAAGATGATCATGGAAGTCCTTTATAATGTTAGTAAGTACAGTTTCGGGGAAGTGCTGAGATTCAAAGCCTGGAAGAGGAAGTTGAAGTTGCAAAAACATAACTTTCAAGAGTTCTGCTGCAAGGATAATAGAGAAGTAGGGTGGTTGCTGCATGAAAATGCGGACTTTTTGTTTTATTTAAGATGGGAGATATAACCAGGGCTCAGTCCTTGAACTCTTTTTCTCTACCACAATGATTTTCTTGGTGATCTCATCTAGTCTTATAGCTGAAAAATACCACTTATATTCTGATGATTTCCAAGATTCTTATCTCCAGCCAGACCTCCATTAAATTCCAGATTCATATCCAACTGCCTACTCAACATCACTATTTGGATGAATAATAGTCATTTCAAACATAATGTCCAAAATTGAATACCAGATATTCCCCCCAAACCTGCTCCTCTGTTTTCCACATCTCATTAAAAGGAAACACCAGATTTCCAAATCTGAGGCAGAAAATCTAAGAGCTACGCTTAACTCTTCTTTCCCTCCTTTCCCTCTCCCTCTCTCCATCTAGCTCCCTCTCATGCTCCACGGCCAATCTACTGGTAAATCATCCTAGCATTAGCTTCAAAATACGAGGTGTGATTAAACAATAGTGAAATGTTTAAATAATTAATTACAGTAAAAGACACATTGTCATTAATTCCCCCTCAAAACACTCCTCTGCTTACTTCCAACACGCTTATCCCATCCTTCTTGCCACTTTCTGAAGCAGTTCTGCAAGCCCTCTTTTGTGAGTGTCATTAGTTGCACTGCAACGCCTGTCTCAATGTCCTGAATCATTTTGACTTTGGGGAAGAGCCAGAAGTTGCATGGTGCCAGATCCGGTGACTAAGGTGGATGAGGACACACCGTAATGTTTTTATTAGACAGAAATTGCCATCTACCAGAAGCCAAGTGTGACAAGGAGCGTTGTCATGATTGAGGATGATTTATGGCACACTTTAAAACACACCTCTCAACCGTAGCTCACACCCGACTGACTGCACTGAACAAGTTGAAACTCGTCACACAGTTACTAAGGTTTGACATGCTGCTTCACATATAGAAGATCCCTGCCTTTCCATTGGATGGCACTTGGCAGCAGCATTCCCCATAATTGTTTTTATCACAATGGAAAGGTGTGTCACACATGACTTCTGGTATGGCAATTTCTGTCAAATAAAAACATTATGGGGTCGGCTGAGTGGTGCGCTGGTTAAGAACTGGCTTGGGACTCCAGCTCTGAGCAGCAGGGCCCCAGTTCGGATCCCACATGAGGGCCAGTGACACTGCCTTCTACAGCTAAGATGATGAACAACAGCTCGACCTGGAGCCATGAGTTGCCGGCGATGGCGCAGGCTGCAGCGGGCTGCCATAAATTACGGTAGATGGCCAGCAGCCAGTGTGAGCGGCCGTCCAGAAGCCGGCGACTGATCTGCCTCACCCGGGAAGAGCGCAATGATGGTGCCAACTTGGGCCAGTGAAGCAACATCCTCCACAACTAGACTGAAGAACAAAATGACATCAACTTGTCTTTTCCCCTTCCCCCGATTCCCCAGTGCTCTTCCCCTCCCCCAATCCCCCAATAAAATCTTTAAAAAAAACAAACAAACAAACAAACACAAAACATTATGGCGTATCCTCATCCACCTTATTCACCAGATATGGTATCGTGCGACTTCTGGCTCTTCACCAAAGTCAAAATGACAATGAAAGGTAAACGTTTTGAATCAATTCAGAACATTGAGGCAGCCACGACAGTGCTACTAAAGACACTCACAAAAGAGGACTTCCAGAACTGCTTCAGAAAGTGGCAAGAATGATGGGATAAGTGTGTTCTATGAGAGGGGGAGTATTTTGAAGGGTATTAATGACAATGTGTCTTTTACTGTAATAAATAATTTTTAAATTTAAGCATTTGGGCCAGACGAGTGGCTCAGCTGGTTAGGGGTTGGCTTAGGGGCGCGAGCTCTGAGCAACAGGGCTGCCAGTTCAATTCCCACATGGAATCAGCTTCGCCCAAGCTGAGCTAAGCTGAGCTGCCAACAGGTGGCAGGATGGTTCAACTGGTGTAACAAGATTGCCTATTCAATGGTGGGCTACACCCACCCGCAACTGGGACTGGACTTGGCACCTTGAGCTGAGCTGCTGCCCAGATGGCTCAGTGGACAGAGGGTGCACTCTTTAACAACAAGGCTGCTAGTTCGGCTCCCACATGAGATGGTGGTTACGCCCACCCGCAGCTAGGATTGAGCACAGCACCTTGAGCTTGGAGGCCACGAGCTGCCAATGGGAAGCCAGATGGCAACTGGCGCCCTCCACAACAAAGAATGAAGAACAACAACTTGGCTGGTCCCCTTCCCCAATTCCCCGATAAAAATATTTTTTAAAAAAATAAAATTTAAGCATTCACTGTATTTTTTAATCACAGACTTCAACCCCTTCTCACCACTTCTACTGTCATCACCCTGGTCCAAGCCATCATCATCTCTCCTGTTGCTAGCAAAGCATTTTAATTGACTTGTTTCTACTCTTGCCCCCTCTTCCTGATTCTATTACACAAAAGACCTAGTGGACCTTAAATACTCGTATACCAAGCACACTCCTCCCCCAGATAACAGCTTCTTCCTCTCTTCCTCTAGTTCTTTACTCAAAATCATCTTCTCAATGAGGCCTTCTCTGATTACCTTATTTAAAATTGCAATATCACCCTCCTTCTTTATTTTTCTCTATTGCACTTACTACATGATATCACATATATTTTGTTAGTGTATTTTATTGCCTGTCTCCTCCAACTAGAATTTAAACTCTCTAAGGGCAAGGATTACAGTTTCTTTTGTTCACTGCCAAATCTACATCATCTGCATCTACATCTGCATCATCTACAACAGTGCCTCGTAATGAGGAGATACTCAGTAAAAATTTATTGAATGAAGATATTTATATGCTAGTAAGAATGTACTGCCAGGTAGAAATATGGAAGTCATCCTACACTGCTTCTTCTCTCACATATCATTGCCTATCAAAATCTTATGAATTTTATCTCCTAAATATTGTTAATTGGTTCCCTCCTTTTTAACCTTCACCACACTAATTAACTTTCACTTGGACTACTATATTTAAAAAAACCTTCCTAAATAGTCTCCCTGAAACCAATCCTGCAAACCCTAAATCTAATTTCCACAGTATGGCCAGAGTGATTTCAGATCTCAGGGCTACCCATGTCACCCACCCAACCCAACCCCACTTCTACCTTCAGCTAAAAATACTTTAAATGGCAAGAGCAGGGGTCAGCAAACTTTTTCTGTAAAAAGTTTAGGTTTTGCAGGATATACAGTGTCTGTCCCAACTACTCAACTCTAGTATTAGAGCACAAATGCAATCATAAAAAATATATAAACTAATGGGTGTGGTTGTGTTCCCAAAACATTTTATTTACAAGAATAGGAAGTGGACTCGATATGGTCCCCTGATCTCGAGGATAAAATAAAACTCCTTAATATGGATTATAAAGTGGTAACTTATGCCTGGTTATATATCTCCAATGTCATCTCCCAACCTTCAACTTCACACTTTGTACTCTATCACGTAAGTGTTTATACTTCATATATATATATATATAT